TGAGCGAGGGAGGGGCAGAGAGAGAGAAAGACAGAGAACCTGAAGAGGCTCCAGGTCCTGAGCCGTCAGCACAGAGCCCTACGCGGGGCTCGAACTCACAAGCGGCAAGATCATGACCTGAGCCGAAGTCGGACGCTCAACCGACCGAGCCACCCAGGCGCCCCTGGAATATCTTGCTTTTGAGAAGCTTTCTGGTGTGTCACGCCTTACCGTCGACCCAAATGAAGAAACTTTTTTTCAAATTAAAAGGAAACGGGGCGCCTGCCTGGTTCAGTCTGTGGAGCCTTGATCTCGGGTTTGTGAGTTCGAGCCCCACATTGGGTGCAGGGTTTCCTTAAAAATAGAATCTTAAAAAAAACAAAAGAGGGAGAGCATTTTATTTGAGCCCATGTTCCACCACGAGAGCACGTGTGCCCCCAGGAAGGAATGTGGTGTAGGGTTATGTGTGTTTTTTTACACGAAGAGTTACAGATCATCAAGACGGTCCAGAAAGTTACAGACTTTATGTGTTTAGTATGTGCAAGACTTAAGGGAACCGGGAGGTGTTTTTTTTTCTTTTTTCTTATTTTTATGTTTGGAATGCTCTTTTCTGGTTATTTAAAAGAAAATTTTTTTTAATGTTTATTTATTTTCAAGAGACAGAGTGCTAGCAGGGGAGGGGCAGAGAGAGAGGGAGACACAGCATCCGAAGCAGGCTCCAGGCTCTGAGCTGTCAGCACAGAGCCCGAGGTGGGGCTCGAACCCACAAACTGTGAGATCATGACCTGAACCGAAGTCGGACGCCTAACTGACTGAGCCCTCCAGGCGCCCCTGGTTATTTATTTACTTACTTTAAAAGCCAACGAACATTGTGTGCTGGGGGCAGAAACAGGGCCAGGCTTTGAGTTTTGCCGAGTCATGTTGAATGTGGTAAATGCCACAGGGTAGCTTCCCAGGGAGCCCAGGAGCTGTGTCCATGAGCACGGAAACTTGAGAATTTCCTTTATCACCCCTGCATGCATGTGTTTGAGAGGTTGGGGTTCGAAGATTGACTGCAGGGCTCGCCTCAAGGTCGTCTGCGGAAGCGACGGGGGTGTTCCCCCTGCAGCCTCTGTGGCCACATGTTCAGTTTCGGACACACAAGGGTCCGCTGTGCTGGGCCAAGGGTGCTCTCGGTGTGGAGGCTCCGGCCTGGCCCGAAGGAGCTTGCTTCTCCCTGGGTGGCGGGGGCCACCTCGGTGCCCTCGATTACAGAGCGCTCCTGCAAGGTCTTCTCCACGGCTCTGCGCATGGAGCTTGCGGGGAACGGAAGGTGGGCTTCCTTGAACGATGCGTCTTATCAGGACATCTGCTTCTCGGTTTTACAAACTTGAGCTACCCAGCGCAGCTCTGCGTGTTTTAAGAGCCAGGCGTTGGTGACACACGTACAAAGTTTGTGCAAGGGCAAATCTCAAAGAGCCGGCCAGCATCAGTATATGGCTTTGTATCTGGATTTACTGTAGCCGGAGGGTCTGGGCTCATAGATCACAGAGCTTTCCCAAACCTCTGTTCCCTCCACTGTCAGGGAGGATGGTCGGTCGCTACAGGGCTTCAGCGAGAGCCTGATGCCGGGATGGGTGGGTGCCAGGGGTGAGCCCCTACGTCCCTGGCAACCATATTTCTCCCGGGGCTGGTCGCTCTTCTCGGCCACGCCTGTGTTCTCCTGCTTTTCGTGCGAGGGGTCATCAGACCCCCCAGGGCAAGCCACTGGCCATCCTCAGGTCGCTGTGGGCTCTCTGTTCCCTTCCCAGGTGGCGGGTATTCCTGGTCAACCTTTGCCGACAGTGCATAGAGAAGGCGGTCGACCTCTGGGTGCTCACCCTGCCTGTCCTGCACCACTGCGTGGCACCAACCCCTCAAGGAAAGGACTCCAGGATACAGCCTGAAGACACCTGGGCGGCCCTGGAAGGAATCCCCTTCTCGGAGTTCCGGGAAAAAAAGGCAGATCGGTAAGTTGGAGAGCCACACTTGTATCTGTAAGTTCTGGGATGACAGCTGTGCTTCTAGAACCTTCGATAGGCTCCCCCGTGCACACATTCCTGCTTTGGGCGACACTTCTTTTAAAATGACTTCTTCAGGGGCGCCTGCGTGGTTCAGTAGGGTAAGCGTCCAACTCTTGGCTCCTGCTTAGGTCGTGACCTCACGGTGCATGGGATCGAGACCCATGTCGGGCTCCCTGCTGACAGCTCAGAGCCTGCTTAGGATTTTCTCTCTCTCTCTGTCTCTCTCCCCCTGGAGCATGCTTGCTGGTGTGCTCTCTTAAAATAAACATGAAAAAGCTTTTAAAAAAAAGATTAATTGTATGTATTTTAAATACCCTTCAGTGGTGTATAAACTGTCTGGAGAAATTCAGTTGTTAACAATGGAAAATGACAAACACCAGCCTTGGTCTTAAAGATCTTGTCTTTCAGGCAGACACGGCCTTTAATGGGTCACGAACCTTTATCAGATGTTCTTTGTAGCCCTTCTGTGACTTCTGTGGCACCTGGCTTTATGTGCCTTCCAGCTGTCCCCTTCTGGGGTGTCTCTAGTACAGTGTCACCGTATAATGTCATGATTTAAGGACCTTCACTGGGTCCACTTGGACTGTTTGATGTGGAGCATTTACTTACTCGCTCATCAAGATGCTTCATTCGTAAGTCGCTGCAGCCCCTGTAGAAGACAGTATGGAGGTTCCTTAAAAAGTTCACGGTGGAGGGGCGCCTGGGGGGCTCAGTAGTCAGCTGGGCGTCTGACTTCGGCTCAGGTCACGATGTCACGGTTTGTGAGTTCGAGCCCCGCGTCGGGCTCTGTGCTGACGGCTCAGAGCCTGGAGCCTGCTTCGGATTCTGTGTCTCCCTCTCCCTTGGCCCTCCCCCACTCATGCTCTGTCTCTCTCTCTCTCTGTCTCTCAAAAATAAACATTAAAAAAAGAAATTAAAAAAAAAAAGTTGACAGTGGAACCACCATATGATCCCACAGTCTCACTTGTGGGCGTCTGCCCCACGGAGACGACATCAGTATCTCAGAGACGCACGTGTGCCCCCATGTCCGCTCCAGCAATATTCACAGTAGCCACGGCGTGGGGACAGCCTAGTGCCCACCGATGAGCGGATAAAAAAGTTGGGAGATACGCCCAGTCACACACACACACACAAATTTCCAGGTAGAAGATGAAGAAGTTTTGGGAGCCCACTCTACGGCCTGGTGAATGTAGTTGGTAGGAGTGTATTAGACACGTTTCCGTGTCGCTAAGAGAGTAGATCTTCACTGTTCTCAGCACAACAAAGAAATCGTAACTATGTGACTTGATGCAGGTGCTGGGTAGAGCGAAGGCGGTCAGTGTATAAATGTGTCAAATCAACACACTCCACACCTGGCACACAAGGGCTCTAAGCCACTTACAGCTGCATAAAGCTGGAAACAGTGCTTAATTCTTAGTGCAATTTCTTGCCGTGGTAAAAAGAGACACGTCCTATAATTTGGCTTTTTAATAATTTTCAGCGTAGGTCAGCGGCATCCCACATACTCACACGGGTGTGCCGCCCCGGCCAGAGCTTTCTCCTTGTTCCCACGTTGAAACTCTGTCCCTGTTAGGCAACGACTCTGTTTCCCCTGCCCGTACCTGGTAAGGCCCATCCTGCTGTCTGTCTCCGTGCATTTGCACAAGCCAGGGACCTCTCGTCAGTGGAATCAGCATGTTTGTCCTTTGGAGACGGGCTGGTTTCACTCAGCGTCGTATCTTCAACTTTCATCCGCTTTGGTGAATTCTTTTCTTTTTTTTAGCGTTTATTTTTGAGAGAGAGAGAGAGAGAGAGAGAGCGAGCTTGAGTGAGGGAGGGGCAGAGAGAGAAGGAGACAAAGAATCGAAAGCGGGCTCCAGGCTCCGAGCGGTCAGCACAGAGCCCGACGCGGGGCTCCAACTCGCGAACTGCGTGATCATGACCTGAGCCAAAGTCGGATGCTTCACTGACTGAGCCACCCAGGCGCCCCGACGTTTAAATTATTTTTGAAGTTTGGACTTTATAAGTCTCTTCTGACATTACTTAACTCCGTCTGTGTTTGCTGATCTCACTGCTGCTCCTTCTCTGTCCCTACAGGAGTCACTTAGTTCAGCTCATGGGAAAGGAAAGGCATTTGCTGAACGTAGATGAGTTTCTCTTCCGGTCCTGGTTCAGTCTGCTGCCCCTGCGCAACCTCGTTCACTATATGGAGAACTTCATGGACCATCTGAGCGTCTTCCCCACTTGCGTCCTGGACTGCCTTCTGGGGACGTGGTACCGGCTTCAAAGGCTTACAAAACTCTCCTTCAGCGACTTCGAGGTCTGTTGTCCAGAGCAGGCTCTTGAGACGCTTAGCAAAAGCAGATCAGAAGCGAGACGTTCAGAGCCTGTGATTCTTCTTTTCTGCGGTCCTGGCAGGACGAAACACTTAGAAGCCAGAGGCCTGGGTGGTGTGGCTCTTTGCCAGGGCTGTGGGGCCGCTCTGATGGCAGTTCCTCTGCTTCCGGAGAGTTCCCGAAAGCCACGGCCGGGAGGCGTTCAGGCTGTGCAGTATGGGCGGGCGGACGGGGTCGGGGCTCCCCCACGTGCCGCTCCGTCCTTTCCCGTTTTGGGGGGCGCGGGGAACGGTCCAATTTTAAATCCTGAATTTCCCTTGTGAGACGATAGAAGATTGGTGCTCGAGTACCTTAAAACTCGTTGGTAGCAAGAAAGAAAGGAATCCATCGTTCTGCTCTATTCACGTCGGGTTTTCTGGGTTCTGTCTTCGCGAACGCGGTGGCGTCACTTTGACTGTCCTGTTTTGTTTTGTTTTTTTCTTGGCCACCCCAGAACACCGAGAACACGTTTCAAATGTTGCTCCACCTCCTGGACATTTATCAGGACAGGTAAGTAGAAAAAGCGAAATGCGGACTTTCTCCTGCACGAGCTCACCCCCCACTGACCGCGGGATCAGAAGGTCCTCACCCACCGCCTTTCTGAGCTGTCAGTGCTCTTTTCTCCCCCACGTTGTCTTCCATCCGTATCCAAACGATCACCGCATTGCACATCCATGCTCGTGTTCCGCATTTCTTGAACATCTGGTCTCTGCATGGTTTCTTGCAAGTCAGGCCAGCTGACTACACGGAAACACACACGTGGGGCGTCAGGTGTCCTGAATTCTCGGGACACTTGCGGTATCGCCTCCCCTGGATTCTCAGGGTGTTCAGGGTGGGGGCGTCAGATCGCCATTCATGTCAAGCCCCAGTGGCCCCAGGACCTCCCCCGAGCCAGTCACAGAAGCACCCTCACAGTGCCTCTCTCATGTCACCTGCTGCACCTCGCCCCCGTTGGCTCTGGCCATGTGCCAGCCAGGGATGACGGGGCCTGGTCCCCACAGAGCTGGAAGAGACTCCGTCCACCGTACGTGTTCTAGCACTGTCTTCACTCCCTCTCTCCCTGTACTTTTCTGATTTTTTTTTTAAATTTACGTAGTACCTTAACCTGCGGTGACACACATCCCTAGGTTTTTTTTTTGCCTTACTCGTAGGGATTTGGAAGGGAAGGAACGCATCACGGTTAACGGGTACTGTTGTCTCATTTCTCCTAAATTACTTCAACGATTTCTCTTAACTCTTTGCGGGATAGGATTCTTGAGGAGCCCTTGGTACAGTCCTACTTGACTGTGTGCCTGAAACTTCACGAAACTATCTGCAGAATCACAAAAGACCCAAAGTTTTATGAGCTGCCTGCCTTATCTGCCGAGATTGTTCGCAGAATTATTATACTTAAATCTCTAGTGGTAAGTGGAACCCACACACACAGTGTCGCACCCACGATAACTGGAATTTCGAGCGGCCTCAATTCCAGGAGGGAGATCGGCTGGCTCTAGGATTGCTAGAGGGCCACAGAATGGGTGACAGCGTCCTCAGAATGTACGTTGGGCACCTGCCCTGTGCTGGGTTCTGTTCTGTGCACTGAGGATGTTTTGGTGAGCTGGCGTCTGCGCCCTTACCCTCCGCGGGCTTCCGCTGGAGGGAGGGAAGGAGGCAGGCAGTGCAGGGGTTAACTCCAGAGCAGTGCGGATGTGCGCCCGGAACGCACGTCCGGGCGTGGTCTTTCCCACTTGACCTCGTTTCCTGCACACTAGTACCTAACTACAGCGGCCAAGTGCACGCACCCAACAGGCACACCTCCACGCCTCTGCACACAGGTGCGCGCCTTTATGCCCCCTCCAGGATCCAGCTGTAGGGAGACCCCGGCGCCCTGTCCCCTCTCCCGCTGCATGCCTCCCAAAGGGAGCCCTCTTCTGTTTCCTGCCGCCCAAGATGAGCTTTGCCCGTCTTCGCACACTCTGCTTCATGTGCCTGCTTGATTCACTCACCCCTGCGTGTCTGGGACTCACACCCCTCCCTGCTCGTGGCAGACCTTTCTTCCTTTCTCCGCGTTGTACTCTTAGTACACTTGAGATCCTGGGCGTCACCCTGCAGGTGATATGAGACTTTATGTTCAGACTGACCGTTTGCTTGCTAACCGGAGTAGGAGCCAGAGCTGGGACGTTAGCGACGTAAAAGAATTCCGCGTGTGTTTTGACTTTATTCTTTTAATTTTTCTTCTTTCGAATACCAGAGACACATTTTAAAATAAATGTTGGTAAGATGATTCTGTGGAAACCGCTGTTGTTTAAACTTTAATCACGGGCAGGTGTCCACTTCCATAAATGTACGGGAAAATAAGCAGATACGTTTTCCCGCAGAAAAAGCTCTTACGTGGTGGTTGGACTCTCAGACTGGTGTAATCTACAATATGGTGAAAATATTCTACCCCAGCCATAGAAACAAAAAGTCTGGCAAAACTGAACTCAAAAGTGTATGATCAGTTTTTAACAAGCTTTTGGGTGGGTCCTGACACAGGGGGTTAAGTGCATTGATGGGACACCAGATGCAGAAAGGCCAGGGGTGTGGGAATGCTTCAGACTAGTGCTCGGCCTTGGGCTGTCCACGTCCTGCCCGTCTCTGCCCGGCCCTGTGCCCGGTGTAGGTGACGGAAAAGAGAAAGGGGGCCTCGTGGGGGCCACCCAGGGAACGTGTAAGTGTGGCACAGGTGACAGGCGGTAGGCTGGAGTGTCCATAAGGTGCCGTGGGAACGGAGGGCAGGGCCGGGGTTCCTACGAGGAGCGAAGAGCCCCCACAGGGTCGGGGAGGAGGAACCTCGCTGTTCTCAAGGGCCCGCGGGGAGTGGAGTGTGGCTGGAGATGCAGCCAAGGTGTAGAGAAGGCCAGATCACAGGGCAGGCACACCATGCTTGAGCTTCTGGATTGTTCTAGAAGGTGCTGTGCCATTCGGGGATTTCAGGCAAGGGCGGGCGTGTCCCAATTTTCAGCTGAGAACTATGGCGCCCACTTGGCATCCACTGATCCGGCGCTGGCCGGGTGGGCCTCCTCCCCCCCCCCCCC